TTTCAAAAACGCCATCTCAGAGCCAAACAGGGCTATAGATGGGGCGATGTTTGGCTCTGAGATGGCGTTTTTGAGCGGCCCATCTATAGCCCTGTTTGGCTCTGAGATGGCGTTTTTGAAATCTTTTGTAAAATAGATAGCGGACAGACGAGCGATGAGGGGGTGATGTCGCATTTCTAAAGTACATGGCGCGATTTCACGGTGTGTATATATGTGTGTTTCCTGGGAATAAACTTCAGTTGCAAGTAGCGCTCTGTGTTGTACGTTTTAGCGCTTTTACCTTCTCTTACGTGGTTCTTCTGTCTTTTGTATGTACAGCGTCCTTCTGACTGGCGCTGTAGCTGAAGACCTTGACATTGTAGGGCATTCCTATTGTTTCCCATTTTTTTTTCTGGGAACAAGTATTTCTCCGCTCTCTTTGTGAGAAATACAGTCTGCTTTTTTATTGGTCAGAAGCTGTATGGTTACGCAAGAGGAGCTAAAGGAAATTGCATATATAAACAGCACCTCCTATCAAGTGACCAGTCCTGCCTTCCTTGTGTCATGGAGGTCAGTCTGACCAATAAGGGAAAGAAGAAAGTGCTTCTAGATGGGTACGAATATTGTATGAAAGTTACAAGAAACGACTGGATACGCTGGCAGTGCCGGTACCAACGAACAGGTTGCTGCAAGGGAGCCATCACCACCAATCTTGATTTAAGTACGAAATATCATACTTTTCGCTTGTGTGCAAGTTTTGCAGTAATGTTTCACTTTATTTGCACAAGCGTTTTTACGTAAAACCTTCTTTCGTTTTTACATTTAGAGTTACATATACATTATTTGCTGACACAATTTTTTGTCATTTTTAAACGCAGATTACCCGCTTTTGGTCAGTGCAGGAGCACAATCATGCAAACAATCATGGCCTTTCTGATGTCACCAAACTAAGGAGCCAGCTAAAAAGGAAAGCTGTAGAGACCGCAGAACCTCCTAGCCGTCTGCTTGCTCAGGCTTTGAGCAATTCAACAACATCCGTGCGCGAAAGCATCGGTAGCCTCGAGACTATTCGTCGTGACCTGCGCCAGCAAAGAAGTAAGGTGCGTCCGCCGGAACCCCAGACCACTGCTGATATTCAATTACGAGATACCTGGACAATGACCGGAGGGCCGGAAAAGCAACCGTTTTTGATCTATGACAACGGGCCGGAGAGGCGAGACCGCATGCTCGTTTTTGCAAGCCACGAACAGCTGCGGGCACTATCAACAAGCCGAACCTGGTACATGGATGGAACATTCTCGGTGTGCCCAAGACTGTTTAAACAGTTGTACGTTATGAGGTGTACAGCTGGGGAGAGCACCGTGGCGTGCGTTTATGCTCTGCTCCCAGGCAAAACCTTCTCCATATACGAAGAGCTTTTTCAAGCGATTTTGGACACGTGTGAAGCGAACGGTTATGCTCCATACCCTGAGATCATCATTAGCGACTATGAGATGGCCGCCATAAGAGCGTCGAAAGCGGTCTTCGGAGAAGATGTCACCACGAAAAACTGCTTCTTTCACCTCTGCCAGAATACCCACCGCAAGGTAACGTTACTCCCAAAATAATCTTGAAAAGAAATATGGACGCCTCTAGTACCAACCATCTATGGCCAACCAACATAAAACCTATGGTATGACATCAAAAACAAAGAAAAGGCATTTGACTAATTTTGAAGTGCTTAGCTCCCCAGTACCAAGATATAGCCTCTACGTCAAACTCAATTAATGCAACCGCATCAGGATCTCATCGTATCTCTTTTTGTTCTATTCTTTTTCAAGGTACGCGAGCTGGGCCTCATCAGCAGGTACAAGACGGACGACAGGTTCAAGAAGATGTGTGGAATGCTAGACGGCCTCGCATTCCTCCCTCCCGACCTTGTTCCAGTTGGGCTGGACTACATCCGTGGTCAGGCTCCAACAGACCTCGATGACCTCATCGACTATTTTGACGCGACGTATGTAAACGGAACGTTCCGAGCAGTGTCATCGAGAGTAGCCGATGGCGCATTAACCACAACGATGCGCCGACGACGCCCCGAGTTTCCGCCGACAGTGTGGAACGTGTTAGAAGCCACATTAAACAACGAAGGCCGCACAAATAACGCATGCGAAGGATGGAACAGCGGGTTTAAGAAGCTTGTCGGGCACAGCCAGCCCAGTATATGGAAGCTGATCGACTGCTTGCAACAAGATCAAGCCCTATCGAAGGTAATGCTGCTGCAAATAAGCCGTGGGGAACCGCCGACGAAGAAGACCAAAAGGGCGACAAGGCGCCTACAGGACCGCCTCAGGAACATCTGCCTGGACTATCTTGAGCACAAACAAGTTCCAGCCCTTCTGGAAGCGGTCGGAAATTGTATTCGATTCTAACGTGCGTGTATGAAAAAAATAATTCATGTTTGAGAGACAATAAACGCAAATCATTCAATTTATGACTCCTCTGTGCAAAATCACTTTCGCTCTTTAATGCGGAAATAATATGTGGAAGTGAAAATAGACGAGTCACTCATTGAGCGTGGTGAGCTTTTCTCCGCCTTCTCCATTGGTCCGGTGAGCTTTTCTCCGGTGAGCTTTTCTCCGGTGAGCTTTTCTCCGGTGAGCTTTTCTCCGGTGAGCTTTTCTCCGGTGAGCTTCTCTCCGGTGAGCTTTTCTCCGGTGAGCTTTTCTCCGGGAATCTTCAGTATCCCCGCAGCATATTCTCCGCGTTATCTCCCCTGACCTCATTTCCCCCGGGTTCCAAAAACCCCGTGCCCCCATCCCCTTATCAGTTCCTCCGTCCTCTGCCCCCAATTCTCGTTACGGGACGAAAGAAAAAGTGCATACCGAGGGTCAACAAGAACAAAGAAACCTCGAACGCGACCCAGGTGAGTTATATTTAAAGGGATTGTCCGGTCGAAACCGGAAGTACTTAAGTTATTGCGCTCGTTACGTCGAGGGAGCCTTCATATAGACAAACGTCATTTTTATTTTGATATACGATTTCCCGTTATTAATTAAACCTTTCATGAGCCTATGTACGAAACTGCACCCCGAATTTCGCCAGTGTCAATGGCTGACATCCGTAGGTGCTGCGTGACGTCACAAAACGCAAAGGTTTGTCGGATGGTCGGGATAACAAGCGTTGGTCGATGGATATCTCGTATTTTGTTTCGAATTATATAGTCTCCTAGGCAGCACCCTACTGAAATACGGTTCTTTCAATGCAGTTCCCAAGCACGTGCAAGAAAAGTCACGCCTTTTAGCAGGATATTACTCGCAGACAGCCATAAGCTTCGAGCAAACGTATGCCTTTTCGCGCAAACACAACTGCGACGGACGCCGATCGAACTAGGGGCGCTTGCAAAGCAAAGGATGCAGATTTCGCCTCTGAAGCGGCACTTAGGTACACGAAGCGGCATCTGGGTACACATTTCGGCGGATCCACTGGATCGGTGATGAGGCTGCGGGTCATTCCCTCAGAGGCGACATCCGCGGGTCGAAGGCAAACGGCGAACCGTTCAAATGCATGTCGGACTCGTCACTTGACTTGGACGAGCTTGGTGAATCGTAGCTACGCTCCATTTTCACACGCGGGTGAAACAGATATCGGGCTGCACGCGTGCTAAATACAACTTCTGGTATCATTTCGAGATGGCCAAGCGTTAGTGGGCGTCCACAGATACCGGCGGACAAAGCATGCAGTATTATGCTCAGCTACGGGGACATGCGAGCGCCAACGCACTAAATCCCAGACCTCTGCAATGTATCGGAGTCGTCAATATGCATCCAAGAGCAACTGAAGGCGGAGACTATCAAGAAAGCAATACCTTTCCCGTGTCTGTAAGTAAGAATATCAACACTGTGGATCCCCACATAGCATCAAAAAGCAACAATTTACGTGAGCCAATATTTCATCACTCACCACAGGGAGCCAAACCTACGCGAGCAGGTGCCTAAAGCTCTTTTAAAATATAAAGCATAATCAAGCAAATTCCCTCCCTCGCTTAGGATCTCAATTCCGCGTCCACCGCGGGTACGTTATTATCATAAATGAGAGGATATGCAACCTCCGTATCGGCGTTATTGTTAAACATAGCAGACATTTGAGCAAGCGCTGCGAAAAATGACACCGCGAGCAGAGACGGACGAGGAGTTTCGCTATCGCCGTCTTCTCTTGTCGTCTGCTTCTGCACGAACGCTGAACAGAGCCTGTAGCCGGTGCAAGATTTTGAGGAACTGGGTCTGAACTCGTTCAGAACTGGGATGAATCGAACACGCCAGTGCAGCGGTCGTGCAACTTCTGGTTGAATCGAATGCACCAGTTCCTGCACTGCCGAAATTCAGCCAGTTCAGGCGAATCGAACAGACCTAAATTGACTGATCCGATTTGGGCGAGGAGTGGGTGGACGTAGTTTAATATCGTTGGCACAGCATCATATCTCAGCTTACAAGCCTTCTGTCCGCTGAGAGCTCAGCTCGTAGCTTTGTTCTGTGAGATGATTGCTGCATAAGCAGGATCTCGATCTGGACGGGAACCCAGTCCCTACGCACGACGACGATCCACTTTGCTCGTCACTGCACGTCTCGCGGAAAAGTGTGGAACGTCATGTCTTGGCTCGCATGTGCTGCCCGGTGGTTGTGGCACCCAACCGCGCAACAAAAATCTCACCCAACCAGGAAACAAGTCGAGCACAACAACAAAAACGAAGCACGCTGAAGCGTTCACTCGCAGGCAAACAACGAGACAAAAATGCTCGCTTTGTGTTTTGTGACGTCAGAGCTTCAATGTTGCCAACGAAAGCAGCGTTTACGCTAGAATGCGATATGAGCAGTATAAATTCAATTACTCACGCAGAGGGGCATATAAAATTCGGATATTGCACGTACGGTGCTTCTCGAGGCAATAACAATGATATTCAATTGTTTTCTCAAATACAAAATTTGACCGGACAATCCCTTTAAGAAACTTTCAACATTGGATGCTTCCCAGACGAGGTTGAGATGCAGGAGATGGAGGTCGAATTTTTGAAAACGGAAAAAAGGGAAAGAGGCCTTAATACTAGACGAATTTAAGTATTGCTTTCAGCGGAAGAACCAAGATGAGAAAACTGCCTGGAGATGTGCTAAATACTGGACAAATAACTGCAAAGCAGCAGTTCTCACGAAGCACGGAAAAGTCGTCAAGACAACACAAGGTGAGCTAATGACTTTCTTTTTTTACTTTCGCAAACTCTCGGATTGCTGTTCAGCTTGAAGGGCACTGAATGATTGAGGCTAAAATCTGCTGCGGCGTTTCATCATCATCACGTCGATGTGTTTCAGAGCACAACCATCCACCTGATAGCAGCCAACTTCGGGAAGCGCGACTGAAGAATGCATTGAAGCAAAGGGTTAGGTCGGAGCCGCATTTGCCAGCACCGCAAGTGTACAGCAGAGAGATCTTGAGCCTTGTGGGTCAAGTAAGCAGAAACATTGTCTCGTCTTTACACACTATGTTTTATTACACGCGTATACGTGTTCATGGTGTCCGCGATTGAACCTTGTTTGTGACGGGACCAATTTGTTCTAGGTTGACGACACGGTGATGGCTGAGCTGCCGACTTTTGAGAGCGTGAGGAGCAGCATGTACAGGGAGAAGAGAAAGCAGCAACCGAGCCTACCAAGGGACATGGCCGAGATTAACCTTGGAAGACTACATACGGAGACACTCGACAAGCGAGACTTCCTGCTGTTCGACGTCAGCATAAGTGAAGGCCGTGTTCTTTGCTTTTGCACGCAGGAGCTGCTTTTTCATTTTTCGGAAATGGTTGAAGTGTTCTTCGATGGCACGTTTTTCTCCTGCCCGTCATTGTTTTATCAACTGGTCACAATAAGCGCCGTCAAAGAGGGTTTGAGCTTCAACATCGCCTACTTTCTTCTACCTGGGAAGTCTCGAGAAGTATATGTGTCGGCCTTCACGAACTTCAAGACGGCGTTGGACGCTCTTCGTGCACCTCTGTCACTCAGCGTTGTCCGTACGGACTTTGAACTGGCCCTTATCCAGGCTTTTCTTTTCGTTTTTCCTGGAATCCGGCACCAGGGTTGCCATTTTCACTTCGCTCAAGCAATCTGGAGGAAGGTTCAAGAACTCGGACTTGCCAAGGCTTACCAGGAAGACTCTTCGGTAACGATGTTTGTACGCCAGACAATCAGTTTGGCCTTTGTCCCGCCAGCGTTCGTACGTATTGCTTGGCGGGGTTTGAAGGCAACTGCACCACCAGCCCTTGGAGTCCCAACTTATCCTGTACTTCGAGGATACTTGGCTCTTAGGAAACTACGACACCCAGCAGTGGAACCACCACCAAAACAGCGGAGCCCGGACAAACAACCTAAAGGAGGCCTGGCACCGGTCAGTTCATTTTTCAGTATGGTATAAATTTGCTATCAAAAAATCAGAATTCTTATTTACCAGGAGTTGTAATCCTTGTGCTTTTTATTTACAGAAAAATTAACAACGCCATCGGGAAAGCGCACCCCAATGTCTACACTTTCGTGGAGCACATCAAGCGGGACGAGGCCACTAGCAGAGTCACCCTCCTCCAGGTATCCAACGGCGGCCAAGCCCGAAAGCGACAAAAGAAGTGGGAGATGAAGGACGAAGCCATCAGGAAGCTCGAGCAGCGTCTGTCCAATGGAGAGCTCAACATTCAAGAGTTCCTGAGGCTCGTGCAGCGATATTGCGGTATCTAAGTAATGGACATTGCTTCAACAAAACTGTATACATTAACATGTTAATAAATCTCCCATAATTTTCAATATTGTCAAGCACTGAACTGACACAGGATCACGGAATAACAGCGTGCGTTGGTTTCAAAGAACATCGGAGGTGATCAACGGGCGTCCGTATCGTTTCATCGGCACCATGTTTCGTGAAAAAACTAGCTTCGTCGCACGTGCATCACAGGGACCCATGTTAATCCAGGCGGACCACCCGTCCACGCCGCCTCGCGGCGACAGACACAGGCGACTTATTACAAAAGGAAGCTAATTCGAGCTGTCGGTGTAATAAACTTTTGATGAAACGATACGTCGATGAAACGTCGTTCGATCAACTGATTGCCATTGGATAGAGAGGCACACAAAAGTTACAATATGGGGGAATTGGATACGGGGGTGCTGGCGCTCGGGGCAGGCAAGACGGGGAATTTGACAACGGGGATTTTGACACTCGGGGGAAATGGCACGGGGCATTTGGAACGGGGGAACTGCCACCGGGGGAATCGTGCTACATGGTTTATGCTATAAGTTAGACATAGATTTGTGCGTTGTGTGGCGCTTTGCGTGGGGCGCGGGCTGATGAGGTCTGCGCGGTTCAGTTGTTTGGCTTTTCTGATTGCATCGTCGATTATACGGGGTGGATACTTTTGTTTCTCTAGCACTGACTTTAAATTTTGACTGCTCGCATCAAAATCTGTCTCTTTTGAACAAATTCGTTTGAAACGATGAGCTTGGCTATAGGGAATGCTGTTCTTGCAATGATGTGGGTGGTCGCTTTGATAATGAAGGTATTGCTGCCGATCTGTGGGCTTACGGTACAGGCTCGTGGCGAGTTTACTTTCGTCTATCTTAACGTTGACGTCTAGGAAGTTTATTTCGGTTTGAGAGTACGAATGTGTAAAGCGGATGCTCGGATGAGCAGCATTGTATCGACCTATGAAGTCCACCAGCTCCTCCTCAGTGTGCGACCATACAATAAATATATCATCTATAAACCTTTTGTATATTAGCGGCTTTACGGGACATTCAGAAAGGAACTGAGATTCTAATTTTCCCATGAATATGTTGGCATAGTTCGGGGCCATTTTGGTGCCCATCGCGGTTCCGCTAACCTGCCTAAAGTATTTATTGTTAAATTCGAACGTGTTTAGTTCTAAGACAAGCCTCGCTAGAGTAGCGACGACGTGTCCATCTGGGGTGTCCGGTTGTTTGTGGAGTTCGTACATGTCAATTAAAGAGAGTATTCCATCATCATGTGGAATATTCGTATACAGCGATGACACATCGAGTGTAACGAGATACGATTCTTTTGGTATGCATAAATTTGATATTTCTCTTAAGAAGTGAGTTGTGTCTTTAATGTACGAATCAAGAATTGTAGGTATATGTTTAATTAAACTGTCTACATATCCTGATATGGGTTCGGTTACTGTACCTATTCCGGATATGATTGGACGCCCTGGGTTACCAGGTTTGTGAATCTTAGGGAGCATGTAGAAGCGGCCCGGAGAAGGCTGTACCGGTTTCATTAATTTATGTTCGTTAGCAGTTATTCTGCCCTCGTCTAGGAGATCCTTAAGAACCGAGGTCACAATCTGAGTGTGGTGCACCGTAGGGTCATCCACGAGAGGTTCATAAAACTTTGAGTCATTTAGTTGGCGGTTTCCTTCTCGGATGTATTCAGAAGTGCTAAGAATCACAATTGCTCCTCCTTTATCGGCTGGTTTTATTGTTATGTCTGTCCTATTGCTCAGGGTTTTTAAGCTAGCCCGTTCGGATTTAGTGAGGTTATCCCGTCTTCCCGCCTGCCTGCGATATTCCCGCATTATGTCTTTTTGCACAGCGGCTATGTATAAGTCAAGACAATCATCACGGTTAGCTTTTGGCGTCCAGTCGCTCGTTGCACGCTGCTGAGAGGTGTTGGAGCTAGAAGTTTTGTCCAAGAAGTATTCCCGCAATCTTAAATTTCGAGCAAAGTTGTCGAGGTCGATATATATATATATATATATATATATATATATTAGGAATACGGCAGAAAAACGTACTTGAGACGGTTGTTTGAAGTTTTATAACATATTATTTCCAAAGTTCATCAATGTTTCGGCCTGAGGCAGACCTTTTTCAAGACTGGTTACAGGAGACGAAATATTGACACACCTTGTCTACATCACGTGACTCATGACGTCAATGGATTATGCTAACTCAAAAAAAAAGAACACCTGGCTGTTTCAAGAGCCCCACGATAGACTCGACGCAGTTATCACCACAAAAGCCGCATCTCGGCCCCGGCGGCACCGCGCCCCGTGGAGAGATAGTACAACCAAGCTCTGCTCCGCTGTCATCGTGCGACGCAGCAGAGGCTGGTTGCACTCAGAGCCTTTTATACTCGGAGAGTTCGGCGGCCTATTGATCCAGCCGCCAGTCTGGCAGCACTGATCGAACAGTCTGGCAACTCTGCGCATCGCATTCCGAGTCTCGTTGTCCGCCATGATGTGCCTTGTCGTCTCGAGCCGGCAGCCATCTGACTAGGGTGGAACGAAAGACCACGGTGAAAAAGACCGTTCTGCGCTTCGCGAGACGGTAGAAGAAAACGCAATGGGGTGCTGTAGTGCCGTTGGGTGCTCAAACAGCGCGAAAAAAGGGTTCAGGTTGTACGGGTTCCCGCAAGGAAAAGAAAATTGTGCAAGGCACAAGATGCGGGAGGCCAAAACAAAGAAGGCTAAGTGGAAGCCGACTTCGAGTTCTCCATGGTGCGAGGTAATATTATAACTAATTTATTTTGTGAGTTAAACGCGTTTTATTTTGACTAAAACTGTGCAGTGACTTGAGGCGGGAGCGTCAAGTACTGCTCTGCGCCAGGGGAGAGTGCCCGTTGATCACGAAGCCGTTTCCTGCCGCGCAAGATTTGATGCTTGCGAGCGTCCCAGCTTGCGAACTTTTAACTGTGTATACTGCAGTTCAGTATAAGTGCGAGCGGAGCCGATCGCTGCGAGCACGTGCACGTCGCGCCGAACGACGCGTGCACTGTACGAGCGCACGCGCTCCGTAGGCACGTTCGAAGCATGCAGCTCGCTCTCGCAGCTTTCTCGTATACGCTCGAGTCTTTAGAAGCGGCCTCGTAGCTCCGCCTCGCCGTCTCGCAAGCGCTTTTGTTTCGCTAGCGATACCTTAATTAATTTTTTTAATACGCGTAGTAAGTACTTACTTGGCATGCCCTTTTCTTTTTTTAGGTGCACTTCGCAGATAGTGAATTCAAAAGCGGTTGTCAATTTCAATAAGCTCAAGCACAACGCGATGCCGACGCTGCTTCTTCACAGCAAACCAAAAAATGAAAAAAAAGAAGAAAAAGATCGGCAGGTGAAGAAGCACGGCGGAAAATCACGATCGGTACGCCGTATTCCGCACAACGGTGCACAAACCTTGTGATGTGGTAAACAGTCGGGGAGCGATCCAGACAATCGAACTTACCCTCTGAAAAATGCGCACAATGCCACTGAGCTGTGTCGGACGGCAGGCGTTTTTGAGCGATTCCCCATTTATAAATGAGTGCCGTTCATAAACGGCAACAAAAGCGCGAATGGCAAAACCTGCACGCGTATACATCGCACGTCAATGGGGACCCACTTGCCGGGAGGCACATCATGGCGGGAGCGGAACCCGCTGAATCCGCTAAACCTAGCGGGCCGTAAGCCCCTCCCATCCGCCGAACTCCCAGTATGAAAGGCTCTGGTTGCACTATCTCTCCACGGGGCGCGGTGCCGCCGGGGCCAAGATGCGCTCCGATAGCAAACCGAAACTTAAAAACCCGTCGAATTCGTGCGGTTTTTCAGAGAGCCATAAAATGCTTCGCGTGCCTGCTATCGTTCAGTAATTTGTTGATTTCGTGTTTTTTTTTTTTTTTTGATGATGCTGAGCAATTTTCTAATTTAAACCAAGCCCTTAAACACAATATTAAAAAGTTAATTACGCAAAAATAATTAACAAGCTAATTATACCGCACTTTAATAATTTTCCTAAATGGGCCACTGGCCCAGGACATAAGCGCCACAAGCTTTTTTTCGTTGCCATGAGTAGTTTTAGCAAGAGCGATTTGGCCTGCGTTCTCTGAAACACCCTGCATACACACACACACACACACACACACACACACACACAAACATATTTTGAAACAATTTTTTTGTAATGTCCTGATATGCCATTTCAACGCCTAGCATGAGAAAAAAATGTTTTGGAGTGTCAGAGGTTTTTTAAGAAGCATCGTTTATTTTGTACACGTACGGACTCTTTCGTAAAATAACAAGCATTTCGTAGCGTGTAAGGCTTCAAATGTGCTAGTCATGTGTTTGGGTTTCATTTCTATTTTCAGTGATTCATGCCGGGTTGCTTAGACTTTTTTCTCTTGACTTAAGTTTGTCCGGGAGTCTGAATATGTTACGTACTTTTCCGTCAATACATAAGGCTAAGCTCACACACCTTGCAAATCACGCCAGCGCCAAATAAAAAAATATTGTTAGGATAAATATTGTTGCTTCACTGGCTTTTACGCTCAGATATTGAGGTAAGTACTTACATTATATAGAAAACCTTACATTGGTCGAAATTCTGCTCAGCTGAGCGTCTAAGCGAAGTCCCGTTCAAAACTCTCATAGCACGAGATTCGAGTCCTATTAGCGGCCATACAAACAATATACTACCATTTCTGTTGGTTGTTCCTTACAGACATCTATATTGCCTAACTGTAAATAAAAAATAAAGAAAATTAAAGGCTTTTTTTTTTTTTTTTTTCAGAAAAAAAAAATGACTTCAAACTTGCAAAAGTCTATCTAAATATTCGTTTTTCGGGCAAATGTTCCCCGTTATATGTATAGCGCAAAATATTAAAATTATATTCCGAAGGAAGTGCTTAATTTGAGCTTTATGGTGATGTAAAAATCATCAAGATATATTGATTACGTCTCACAGCACAGCTTGCT